AACGTTAGTGTAGGCAATACAAAGTATGGACATAACATAAAAGAAAACCATTAGCAAGGTAATAAGAAACAAAGGGAGGGAAATAGTCAGAGAAAGGACAGGGGTAAAAATACTCGCCTCCTGTTTGTCTTAATCCCCCCACCCCACCTGTTCTTCTTAATACCCCCACCCCCGATTCTTCTTAATCCCTCACCCCCCTGTTCTTCTTAATCCCTCACCCCCCTGTTCTTCTTAATCCCCCACCACCCTTTTCTTCTTAATCTCCCCACCCCCTGTTCTTCTTAACCCCCCACCCCCCTGTTCTTCTTAATCCCCCTGTTCTTCTTAATTCCCCCACCCCCTGTTCTTCTTCTTCCCCTCCCACTGTTCTTCTTAATCCCCACCCCCTGTTCTTCTTAAACCCTCACCCCTGTTCTTCTTAATCCCTCACCCCCTGTTCTTCTTAATCCCCCACCCCTGTTCTTCTCCAATCCCCCCTCCCCGTTCTTCTTAATCCCCCCCCTGTTCTTCTTAATCCCCCTACCCCCGTTCTTCTTAATCCCACCTGTTCTTCTTAATCTCCCCTTCCCTGTAGCATGGCCGAGCTCCTCTCTGGTCCGCGGTGCCCGGCTGGAGTGATAGGAAGGTGCACACTCAGTGCACACACTCAATGCACACACTTACAGACACACACCTTGCATCCCTTATACATACAAACACAGATTCACACAATGCATCCTTTACACACAACCAGAAACACACAATACATCCCTTATACACAAACACACACTGCTTCCACTACAAACAAATACACTGCATCACCTACACAAACTGGTACCCTATACACTACATACCATAAGCACACACATTAGATCCTCTACAATAACACATAACACATCCCCTACACACTCCACTCCCTGTGAGCGAACTCATGGGTGGAACATGTAGGTGGACTTGTAGGTGGGCCTTATGGGCATACTCACCATCAGGCCCTGGGGCCCAAACCTTGAGCTGTGTAAGGGGCCCCTAAAAAAATGGAGCTGCTTCCCGTTCTCCCAGAACATTGAATTTTGTGACCACAGTTACAAACAGCCTCCAGAGATCCTGTTCTACACCAGACCAGTGCACAGGCTCAAAGATTCTCAGCCTGCACTCTGACAACATTGAAAGTCAGTGACGTGAAGGAGCGGGTATGGCAAAGAGCTAGCATAACATCAAAACCAGGAATACTGGGCATGGATGGTGAACTGATTTGGTGGTGCAATGGACCACTTGACTGGTTTTGCCCCCCAGGCCTAAGGCTGCCAGCCCTCCCCTGACTAAAGCTAACATAATCTGCAATTTTACCACATGACAGGAGGCTTCATATTTTGCAGTTTCAACGCTGAGATAAAAGAGCAAATTCTAGATTTTACAGAGGTCGGAAATAGAATGTCCGAAAAGTAGATTCTCTCTTCCAATCCGCAGCCCGTATAATGTCTGGAACTGAGGCCCATGCCAAGAAGGCGGATGAGGCTGTGGCCCCTCCCACGGAGTGTGCTCCATAGGCCTGATCAATCCCAGCCAGAGAAAGCAACCAACAAACCCATCTGGCCAACGTAGTGACCAAAACCGGACCATACGGGCGAACGTAAAAGACGAGAAGTTGTCGGGAGGAAGAAGAACGCAAGGTCGCGGTAGCTTCCACATAGCAACATGGAGTCGAGACCACACAAAGCTGTGGGTCTGAGGGGGAAAAAAAGGATAGAAAACTAAGGAAGAGTTAGATTTAGTGTGGTGTGAAACCTGAAAGGTGACCCCTGCTGACAAAAGGTAAACGCGTCGGCGTCAAAAGCGCGGACATCCGGACCCGTCAAAAGGAGACCAAGCAGAGGAGAAAGGTGAATTTGACCGTAAGCTGATGAAGGGACAACTAATCGTTCAGATGCCAATCTCGCAAAAATTGCAAAACGATACTGACGTCCCAGAGACGTGTATATTTGGGTTTCTAAAGGGCAGCAAAGATGCATGCCTCGAAGAAGTCTGCAAATGAGGGGGTCTTGCCCAACTTGCATCCCTTGGAGTGGAATGTGAGCCGCTGAATTGGCTGACCATACCACGTTAATGGGCTGATACGATTTCCCAGTTGCAAACAGAGAGGCTAGAAAATTTAGGATAGAGGGAACAGGTGCCGTAAAAGGATCGAGGTCCCGTCCCAAACCCCAATTGGCCCAAGACTGCCACTCAGATAGGTAACATCTCCTAGTTCCCGGTGCCCAGGAGTCCCATAGGAGGTCCTTAGCTTCCTGCAATAAGTCTCCGACTCGCCAGGAACCCCGTAAAGTGTTCAGGCCACAAGGAGAAGGTGACTTTCCACGACTAGAGGATGGGGCTGTCCCATCAGGTTCCTGAGGATCCTCAGGTCGGATGGCAGGAGGAGGGGATCCCTGCATTGTTCTAAAAGTTCCGGGAACTAGGGTTGGCTCTGCCATAATGGCGTTAGGATCGTTAGCGCCACTCTCTGCAATCGGATCTGGTGAAGGACTCTCACTATCACTGCAAAGGGCGAAAGGCATAGTCTTTGCGCTGTGGCCACGGTTGCAGAAATGCATCCACTGCTAGGCTGTCCGGGTCTAGTATCCAACTGAAGAAGTCCTTTGTCTGTCAGTTGTTGCGTGAGGTGAACAGGTTGAGGTAGAAAGGACCTCTTTGTTCGTTCAGAGAAGAAAAAAAGGTGAGGGTCCAGCTGCCAGTTGCTGCCGTCTCGCCAGTGGTGTGAATACCAATCTGCTGTGAGGTTGGATTCTCCCGGAAGATGCTCTGCTAGTAGTGTAATGCTGCGGGGTAGGAAGTAGTCAGAAATCTCTTTTGTGAGCTCTACGAGTGCCTGAGAGCATGTGCTTCCAAGGTGGTTGATGTAACGCACTGTCGAGATATTGTTCATCCGAAGCAGGATGCAACAATTGGATTTTCCTTTCACCAGACTGCGGCGGGCGAATGACCCTGCTAGGATTTCCAAGCAGTTTATGTGCATCGATAGTTCTTCGCAGGTCTGTACTCCTCCCGTGGACGTGTCGCCGTCCGTCGCTCCCCAGCCTGACCGGCTGGCATCTGATTCCAGCACGAAGTCTGGTTGGCTTCTGAATATGGCTAGGCTGTTCCAGGCCTGCATGCAGTTCACCCACCAGTGTAGTTCCACCCAGACATCGTCCGACATTGGGACTGTTTGATCGCACGTTGGGTTTTGATGTAGGAATCTGGTCTTGAGGCGTTGCATGGCCCTGTAGTGTAGGGGTCCCGGGAATATAGCCCGTATGGAAGAGGACAGAAGACCTACTATCCGTGCCAGTAGGTATGGACGTCATGCGAAGAACCTTCTGGATCTCCCTGCGGATGGAGGTGCAAGATCTGGAGCCTATTTAGAAGCCTAGAAATTGGACTGATTGTGCTGGATCCAGCGCTGATTTGGCACGATTGATAACAAAGCCTATAATTCTAGCAGGTGTACTGTATAATCGGTGTGGGTCCGGAGAGTTTGTGCATCTCCATCGAAGATCAGGATGTCGTTGAGATAAATGATACATCTTATGCCGCAGGTGTGCCACCACAGGCTTCAGCGTTTTGGTGAAGCACCAAGGGGCCGAGCTGAGGCCAAATGGGGGCAAGTGAACTGCCAAGCTGTTCTGTGCTAAAGGAAACGAAGGAAGGAGCAACTCTGTTTGTGGACCGCAATAGTCAGGTAAGCGTCCTTGAGATCTAGACGGGTGAACCCGTCGTTGTCTCGAAGCAGGTCCCGGAGGAGGTGGATTCCCTCGATTTTGAAGTGTCTGTATACCACGAGGGTTTACAGATCCCTGAGGTTGATAAGTGGGCGAAATTCTTCAGTCTTCTTCCTGACCTGGAAAATGTTGTTGAAGAATCTGGTAAAATCCGGCGCCGGTTGACTAGCACCATTGGCACGCAGTTTCTGTAGTTCGGAATCTATCAGGTGAGTGCCCGCTTGTGTTACTTGGAGCGGGCGTGGTGGAACTCGCTGGACCGGGATTGTCACGAGTTCTAAGTGGGAGCCTCTCACAGTCTGTAGGATCTATGCATCCATGGAGAGGTCTGCCTGTCACGGTTCTCACCGCGACATCCAGACGGGGTTGCCCCAGAAGTGCCTGAGGAGGGACTTGAACCAGTGGCAGACCCGGGGGGGGGGCAATGGGGCAATTGCCCTCCCCAAGAAATCCGACGGTCTCCCTCACCCCTGCCAGCACATGTAGGTGCTAGCCCTGCAATGTGCCTCTAGACTGGAGGGGAGATCACAGATCTCCCTCCCCGGTCCGCAAGCACTGTGCTGACAGCCAGCAGGGGAGGGAGAGGGAGAGAGAGGACCCAGGAGCTCAGGCTGCAGCTCCTCCAGGTCCTCCTCTAGCGAGATTTGGAGCGTTACCGCGGTTACCACGGCAACGCTCCAAATCTCGCGAGAGTGAACTCTAGCCCTGGAGCGCAGGCTAGAGTTCACTCTCCCCACTGGGATCACCAATAATCCCCCACCGGACCACCAGGGACAAAAAAGTGTCCCCCTTTCCCCCAGTAAAGGTAAGAAGGGAGGGGGGACAGAATATTTATATTAAATTAATTTAAAAAAAATTATAAAAAAAAGCCCCCCTACCCTTATCTCACACACACACACACATATCGCCCCCCATACACACACACTGCCCCCCATACACACACACACACACTGCCCTGCCCCCATACACAGCCGCCCCATACACACACACACTGTCCCACACATACACTGCATCCCTGACATACAGTGCCACCCTCACACACACACACTGCGCCCCTCACACACACACACTGCACCCCTTACACATTGCACCACTCACACACACCACTGCTCCTATGCCCTACTACTGCCCCATTTCCCAGCAAACTGTTTGACTACTTACTCTGGGAGGGGGTCCCGGCACTATTGACACCATAACCACTACACTGAGCTGTAGTGGTTATTGTTTCTGGATTATTTCTTTAAATAATCTACAAGTGCCCCTCCCGAGATCAGGCTCTGGATCCGCCACTGACTTGAACCTGGGTACTTTGCAATCCTGGACCTGCTTTTTTGCCTCTGAGCCACTATACAGCTCTAGTATTGCCTGAAGTATAATCTTGCCTTGTATCCAGCACTGGGGGCTGGACGTTATTCTGTGGCTGCTCCAACATTCTCAGCACACTTGTGGCTGATCACCAATTAGCCAGGTATAAGACACTGCCTCTCCCTTAGGGCAGTGTCAGTTCATTGACTCTGGTTCAAGTATTGCTGTTTCATGTTCTAGTGTTCTCCTGTTGATTCCTGACCTTGGATTGTTATTTCGTGTATCCTGACTCCCAACCAAGGTAAGCCATTACACTGCCCAGTTCTGGAAAAAAAGAAATACGTCCTGCGATCTGGAAAGTAGTTAGTGGAAGGGTAAAATTGGTGACTTACCACTGGAGAATCTTGCTCAGGAGCATCCTCAGCCTCCTCGGACTCCCCTGGAGTAGTGCAATCTCTGGCGATTGGCCGTGTCCGGGTAGAAAGGCTGTGTCCTGGTAGTGCGTGGGCCCAATGGCCAGAAGCAGGGATGTAAATATGTTGACCCTCTTGTTGAGTTCCTTGAGAAAGGCCTCTCCAAATAATTTACCCTATGTCAGTGGCCCGAGCTCTTTATCCCCCAATTCCATGAGCTTGTCGTTGATACGGTATAGTGCTGCGTGGCGTCTCTCGGAAGAGAGATCCACAAGAGTATTCCCGATGAAACAGAAGCACCTTTGTGCCCACTCTCGGGTGTCACGTGCCCACTCACGCACCTTATCTTGGGTAAAGCTGTCTGCTCGCTCATAGGCATTATCTGCCAGATCCATAATCCTCGCTAGAGGTCTAATGGAGTCAAAGAGTTTATTCTGAGTCCCTTTGAAATGGCCATGGAACCCTGGGGCTTACTCAGGCATGTATCCCTTGTAAGGAATGGGTCAGAGTTGGAAGCAGAGTCTCAGTCACTCTCCTTCGGTTCGGAGGACTCCGCCTGCCATTCATCCACCACCAAAAGTGCTTGGGCTGGTCCTGCATCCTCCTCCTCTGAGGACATCTGTGCAGGCCTGTGGGTCGTATGGGTTGCTGACTTTTTGTGTTTGGCAGGGGCCTTTCCTTTGAATTTCCTGGGCTTGGTGTTTTCGCCCTTCCAGTGGCGTTTGGGAGGTCATCACCGTTCCCTGGTGGAGTCTGAGTCCTCCGAATTTGCCACGTAATGGGCCCGTTTGAGAATGGGCTTGGCAGTGTCATTTTCCGCCTGTAACATCTTGGAAAAGGCCTTCTCCATAGAGATGGCAACCGCTGCTGTGATCATGGCTTGCAAATCTGATGGAGTCTGTGTCTCTTCCATGGTGACTTGCTACAATCACTCAAGGCTCACCTAGTTGTATTAGCACGGAGGGTGGGAGAGGCCTGGGGACCAGGGGGATTGTATGGAAACAGGTATTGGATGACCTGTACTAATTGTGGCCAGTAAGCCGGTACAAGCAGATGGAGAAGGTATGTAATCACTGGGGCTCACCCAGGTGTTCGGAATCCTGCATGAACAGGTCCGTTCAGCATCACATAAATGGGGGCTCACCCCGACCAGAATAAGGGATAAAACCAACTGGCTTGAACTAACCCCTATTGCAGAGCACTAACCTGTACCTGGTTCCACCGATATCCCTGAAAGGGAGTGCAGAAATAGGCTCTGATCAGTAATGCTTGACAGGGCACAGCTGAGTGAAGCTCCGTAGACACTTAAAGAGACTGTCTGAATCAAGATGGCCGTCGGACTCTACATTCGTGAAAAACGTGGGAAAACAAGCACCTCCCCGAAATGAGAGAGGGGAGGGAGTTCATGCGTTGATGCACGCACGTGGATGCACACAAACACCCAGTAAAGCTTAGTGTTCGCGCGTGAACAAAACAGCCGACCGCGAGTTCCTAGAACCCAGAGTTCGCGGCTAACTTGTCGAGCACCTGGGGTGTTTGTCTAATGAACGTGCCTCTTGCGTATGAATGCCTGGATGCAGGTTTTTGTAAGCGAGTGGCCGTTCGGTTCCTGAAGTGGTTAGTTCAGCGGGAAAAATCGCCGAATGGGGTAAAAGACCTGTGCAAAGCAGGGAAAAGGGGGGCCCTGCAGCGCGAAGGCACAAAACCGGGACCTGTAATAGGCAGGGTCCCCCAAAAAAATGGGCAGGCAAAAGGGGTTAGCAGGAGAGCACCAAGGACCCCAAGGGTGAAATAGGTAGAGATAGGAAAGACTTCAGAAGGGAGGTGATAGTAGCCACCCGAGAATGGTCAGAAAAAGTATAACAAAGGTAATAGATGGCAACATTCTAAAGACAAATAAGAAAAGGAGAAAATGAAGGTTGAGTAAAGGACAGAGAGGATAACCAAAACTCTGTACTTATCTTGTGATGGAGCAGCAAAGAAAGAGGAATCGCTGCAGTGAGACATGCATCATAACCTATGCTTGCTTGTGATTGGTTCTCCGTTTTCTCATTACTTTTCTTTGCTGCAGTGGAGTTAGTAAAGAAAGATTATGCAAAATATGAAGCCTCCTGTCATTTGGTAAAATTGGAATACATCTCCCTAAAAGTATCATCGAGTTCCCAGTGGATATCCAGGAAAGGTTTATGTGTTTTAAAGCGTCGATTTGAGAACCATTAACATGTTGCTTAGAGCACCCTGAGCCCTCTTTCATTTCTGAGAGTGCATTACAGTGGCCTTAATTTGTAAAAAAAAAAAAAAAATGCTTTAAGTCAACTCACTAGGACTACCTCCTTGGAGAGTGCCGCACTGCAGGCTGCATGCACAGGGTCCACAGCTCTACCAAAAACAAAGCATAGCATCATTTACAAAACAATGAACTGGGCTATATGTAAACTGTAGCAGTAGTTTGTCTCTTATCAGTGGATGATGCAGTTCCAATTATGTTACGTGATGATTGGAACTGTGGATGGGAGATAACTTATTTTATAAACTTCTACGAAAGTTTATAGGATAAGGTCCGCTCTGACAGATCAGAATGAGATGCTCCTGATTGGAGCATCTTATGCTGGTATAGGAGGGTCTGCCATAGTAACATCAATTAATGAAGTTGTTACGGTGCCCAAAATGTTCTTTTAAGGATGATAAATATATGACTTAATATACACCGAAGGAGAATACCCAACAGTTATGTGTTTCAGTGTAAGTATTTAAACTTTAAAAATGTACTCTTGTATTTTATTTGCTAGGGCCCACTAGCATTGTGGTGGTCTGATCATATTATGATCCTAGAAATATGATTGAAGTTCTGTTTTTTTAAATAGTTGTTTTCACACAGGTTCTTAAACTTGGTAGCTTGCATAAGGCAGATGTGCGCCCTCAGTCCTAGAGGGAAATGAAAAGCAGCTGTTAAAGTATTTGGCATTGATTAATAGCTGTGCGCGCAGCAAAATATAATCTCAGAAATCATCTCTGCACTCATTTCTTTAAAATGAATATTTCAGCTATAGATTATTTTTCTATTTATTATTATTTTTAAAAAATCTAACTCTGGCCATGTCGGATGTAAATGTTCTTAAATTAAGAAAAATATACTTAGGTGACTGTTTAAAGAACATTGCAGTGTTGTAGTTTACTGCATATTTTATAGTATAATAATATGTAAAGTGTATTAGTTTCTGGATATAAATAGGCTAAACAGCTTTTTGTCCTAATAGGACTAGTATGATTTCACCAAACCACGAGGAAAACAGGGCTTCACATATATTCCTATAACCTATGGACCAGGTCCATGTTTTAGTAAGGCATATCTCCTAAGCGAGGCAGAATCCTGTTCTTATGATGACTGTATGCTCCCCTGCTACCTCATTAATAGTGTCTTCCCACATTAATTCAACCACATTGAATATCGGCACACTCTTTGCTAGCAATTTGGCATAGAATTTAAACTTTGGACCATGGAGGATTCATTGGAGTTTTTGTGGGTCTCAAAGTCCTTAAATATATTTATTTTGATTATTTTTGTATTTTAATGTTTGAATTCATATTGTCCTGATTACTCTAAAATCCTGACCCTTTCTAGTTTTTTTTTAAATTTTGACTATTTCATAAACCCCAATCCCAATGTTTCTTACACTGGAGAGACTAGAGTGCCAGAGGCATGTTATAAAACATAATAAAAGAAACACTGTACTCACTATAACAACTTCCTCTAGACTGCATTACTTGGCAGATGAACATATAAAATATAGTACAAATATAAGGTTAAAACAAACAGATGCACTTGTGTTGGTGCATCAAGTCTCAGGGACAATAGCCTAAAGCTGTAGCACCACCAGGATGAAAAGCTTACTCCGAGTTGGTATGCGGTGTTGGAAAAAGTAAAGCCTCCAAGATGCTGCGTTGGTACACCAGGATTACTGCATAGATCATTTAAACTAAACGTTTTGAGCTCAGTGTTTGTCCTCCTGAGATTGCCCAAAGAATGTTCCATTTGATTAAGGATTAATTCAGATATAATACTTCATAACCGTATCAGGTATACTGAGCCATAGGACATTCATATTATTTTATTTGTGCAAAGGAACACTAAACAGATTACAGAAGATTACTTTGAATAGAGCTGCAAACACTGTGAGCTGTGCACTGCAATAGCATTCAAGAAGAAAGCTGGTCTTATGGAAGGAGGAGTAAAGAAGACAGGTGCACTAAAATAGAGTTTAACTACCATGTCTGTTAGCGTAGCGGAGCTTACAAAAGAACAGAAGCAAACCTCACTAACTGACTGACAGCCAGGAAAGTTTTCAACATGTGAATATTTCATATAACTGGAACCAGTTTATAAAAGTGCGTTAGACAAACAGGAAGAGAGGGTGTTTAGGGCCCTGCTCAAACAAGCTTACAATCTAGGGGGAGTGAGGTAAAGTGACATAAAAGGTAAGATATATTTCATATACATGAAAAAGTAGGTTGCGAGAAGAGTATGTATTTGTTTTTTAGGATACAGAAGCAGGAGAAGAAGCAAGGTGCAGTGAGTGAGTTTGCAAAGGGCAGTGAGTGAGTTTGTAATGACTTATTTGAAGGAACGGAGACTGGGTGTGAGTCTAATGGAGCAAGGAAGGAGTTCCATAGGCAAGGAGCAGCCCTGGAGAAGTCTTGAAGGTGGGTACCAGAGGTGTAGAAGCCTGAATGGAACATATTAGTATATTAGTGAGGATAAGTAGGTAGGAGCAGTGTTATCTAGAGATGTATAAGCAAGTAAAAGTAGATGAGCCTTAATGTAGCATTTATTATAGACTGAAGCCTGAGGACATGCTGGGTAACATTAATGAGAAGTGTATTGCAGATGTCAAGGCAAGAGAAGATAGTGGCGCGGACTAGCACCATAGCTGCATCTGGCGATAGATGGGGCGGATGCAAACTATGCTTTTGAGATAAAGGAGACAGAATTTAGCAATTGACTGGACATGAAGAGTGTAGGAGGGGTTACAATAAAAAATAATTAGAGTAATTAGATGAATTGCTATACCTATTCACATTTCTTCTTTAACATCAGTGGGGGTCTCCCACACTACATATTTTTTCATTATTATTTTTTACACAGTGGCCCTGGCAACTCATATAGCTATGCAGACCCATTTATTGAGTTATAGTTTGTGAATTCTACTATAATTAATTCTAGAGCATGTTGGCCACAACTCAAGTTAGTTTAGTTTTTTTTTTTTTTATATATCAGTGGTCCTATTTTTGCTATTGCTTGCTCAATTTAAGTTAATAGACAATCTCAGAACAAGTGAACAACCAGTCAACCATCAAAATCAGTTGGTAAAAAATGCATGTGAAGGAATGTGTGCAAAACAATCAAAAACTGAGTATTGAATAAACTTTCTCAAATAGAATTGCTTTACTATTCAGCTTTTACTCATTATCCATTTGACCTTTACAAATTAACTCAATAACAATGGAATCATCAGGCTTCAAGACTCTACAAAAAGTCCATGTGCAAAAAGTATTTGAAACCACTGGTCTTATTCAGAATCATGCTAATTGGGTAGATTAGTTCAAATGTAGTGCATTGCACAGATTGAAAATATTTATATGGGATTCCATAAATTTCAAACTGCAGGGTGGAAATAGATTTGTGTTTCAATATATAATCGCTTTAAATTAAACCCTTGAGGACAGAGGTCACTGTCCATGTTCTGAACAAAAAACAAAACCTAGGATTTTTACCATGTGTTTGTTCAACCATAATTTAAGGGTCTCTTATTAAATGCCCCCATGCATATTATATATTGAATTTTAAAGAGCAGAAGGTGCTTTTAAAAAAAAAAAAAAATCTATATATATATATATATATATATATATTTCATAAATAGGTATACCTAACGCAACATTAAGTGTAAATAAAATGTTAAAAATGGGAAAACTTTTTTATTTTACATTTTTTGCTTATAATTTTTTTTTACACATCCAAAAGAACTCAACAAATATTCACATATCGATCCTGATTGTTAAATACCTGATATTTCTAGGATCTAAATAGATTTTTGGTAGTTAAACGCTAACCATACCAACACCTCCTAATGCTATACCAACCATATCACTTACCCCCTTCCCCCCCATGCTTACACAAACACTTACCATGTATTTACTTTAACCTAGCCACACACTATCCCTAACCCTAAAACAGCATTAACCCAAACTCAAAACTTACCATTACCTTATCCTAACACCTAATATCTAAGGGTTTACATCTAACCCTGCCTCAACCCTAGGGAAACACTCTTCTAATGTCAGTACTGATATTAGCAAATGGGTTTCCTAGTTAAAACAGGAGAGTGGAATGTTGCTGCCATCTGTTGGCTTTTTGGAATAGTAGAACAAATTTTTTTTGTATAACAACGTAGTATGCTTTCCCAGCCAATTATACTGTGATCAGTGCTCGGCAGCTGTCGAAGCCCAGCACTGACCAGAATCGGCCCGGGGACATGCAAAAAAGCAGGATACCAGAGAAATCATAGAGGATGATGGCATGACATGAGACCCTAACTTTATCCTTGTAACGTGATATGCAATCCCAAGACAATTTTTTCCCCCCTTCAATAGGATTGTCAAGCAATACAAAAGACATAAAAACAACATTCTAGAATACATCAAGAAAGGTATCAATGTTATTTTAACCAATAATCTATTTTTTGTTTTGGTTTTTAGACTTGTTCTATCTTCAAAAACAAAGAAATGCTATGGAGAGGGAGACCGTTTTACTCCAAGCTAATGCTAAACTCTGGAAGATTGGAAGTCCACTGAAATTTGGAGTGAACATGCTTGGAGACTAAATCTGGCCTCATATTTTTGCTATATAGATTTATTTTTTATTTGGGATGACACTGTAAAAACATTGGAATTGTTTTTAAAGCATCTTAACTTTAAATAATAAAGGCATTCTTTCAACAGAAGATAACAAGAGAGCAATGAACTTCTTAGACCTTCATATTTTTATTCAAAACAGTAAAATAAACACTTAAAAAAAAAAAAGAAAAATCACACCAATAGAAGAAATGAAGCCTTAGGATGAATCGATCCCTTGAAGAAGATTTTTATAGTTAAGCCTTAATTTAAAAGATATATTTTTAAATATAAATTATCCTGAAGAAATCTTTGGCATACTGTGCATCAAGATGAGGTACTAAAAAACATTATTCCTGACAAACCTAACATCATATTTAGAGGAGCTCCAAACCTTAAAGGATCACTATAGTGCCAGGAAAACATACTCATTTTCCTGGCACTATAGTGCCCTGAGGGTGCCCCCACCCTCAGGGTCCCCCTCCCGCCGGGCTCTGGGGGGAGGAAGGGGTTAAACTTACCTCTTTCTCCAGCGCCGGGCGGGGAGCTCTCCTCCTCCTCTTCGGCTGAATGCGCATGCACGGCAGGAGCTGCGCGCGCATGCAGCCAGTCTCATAGGAAAGCATTTACAATGCTTTCCTATGGACGTTGGCGTCTTCTCACTGTGATTTTCACAGTGAGAAGCACGCAAGCGCCTCTAGCGGCTGTCAATGAGACAGCCACTAGAGGCTGGATTAACCCTAACATAAACATAGCAGTTTCTCTGAAACTGCTATGTTTATAAAAAAAAAAAAAGGGGCTAACCCTAGCTGGACCTGGCACCCAGACCACTTCATTAAGCTGAAGTGGTCTGGGTGCCTATAGTGGTCCTTTAATTAAAACTCACCTCACAAAAAATTATACTAGAAGATGTGACAATAAAGAGAATACCTTATGCAAAGACACTTTTTTGTTTTGTTTTATTATATGCAAACAATGCATGTAAATCTACTGATTCCATGGCTAAAGAAAATAAATAAATACATAAAATACCAATTTCACATCTGTTCAAAGTAGGAAAACATATAAAAATCACGGATCTCATTACATGTAATACCAAGAATGTCATATAACTAGTGCAGTGCCCATGTGGACTCCCGTATGTGGGTATGATGTGAGGATGTTTGAAAACTTGCATAGCAGAACATTGCTGTAACACATTTAAAGGCCTTCAAAATCACTTACTGTCTAAACATTCTAGGATACGTAACAATAACCCTAATGTTTTAATTGGAATTCAGATATGCATATTATCTTGGAGAGGTGGTAATATAAAAAAAAAAAAAAAGATGCTTGGCAGAAGCGAGATGTATTGGGTTTTTAATTTGAAAGCATTGGAGTCAAATGGCCTCAATGCACAATTCGACCTATATTACTTTTTATAAAAGTTAAATTTCTTCGTCTTCTCTTTTTTTAAATATATCTGAAATTACATTGTATATCTTTTAACCATTATCCACCTAGATTTGCTATTTATATGGATTGTGGATTATTTTTATTTGTTTTTATGCTATAACGGTAACGTTTCTTTTGTTTTGCCAGACATTATTATTATTTTACTATTTTTACCTCCATCCTTTGCATACCTGGTGAAGCAAGAAAGGAGAGTACGATATGATTACCCTATGTTCATATTTTTATCTCAGTGAGCACTGTATGTATTTTTTCTTTCTCATTCATTTCATCTATACTGTTGAAGAGATTGAGACCAGGACATACCTTTGAGGTTAGGACGATAGCTCGCCTACTGTGAGTGCATTACTTTCTATTTATTACCACTCATTTCGTACTGGCAATATCATGCTATTGAATTTATTTTTGTTATTGCATCATGGAAAATCTCCCGTGGCACCTTTATCCATTAGTGGGGATTATACCACTACATGCTGTTGAGCTTGTTTGAAGCTCCATCCAATGTGAGTGGGAATTTGCACATATGTATTGTGTGTTTTCAATTACAGAGAAATACTGCAGCATAGACTTTTGTTTTTTTCTCTTTTACTTATACCCACAAATAAAGAATTAAACACTAAAGGAAGCAAGGTCATCTGGTGAAAGCTTTAAACCGTGGACTCTTTTACATTTAATACAATATTGTTTTCTTATATTGGGTGCAACTTGTTTTGTTTATTGTATTAAAGGCAAAATTTTCTCAAACCATATACTAGTAGCTTTATGTTCTTTGTGTGGCAACTCGGCTTCATTCTACACTTTCTCAAAGAGCTTTGAATAACGTGCATGGTTGTCGTATGAACGTGCAAATTAGCTAGTGTACATACCTTTTATGCTACCTTCAGATTTAGTATTTTGTGGTCTGGCGGTCTCCTTTTAAATGATTCCAATAAGCTATATATATAAATATATATATATATTTTTTTTTTTTACTGAGAAACGTCATGATGTTGGCTTGTTGGTTACGTTCAAGGGTTCCGTTAGCAAGCACCTTTTACTGAGGATACCAGTTTGTATTTGTCTCATGGCTTGTTGAGCTCAGTTAATATCCTTGCATAATTATATGTATTTCAGGAATTAAGGTTTGATCAGTCTGGTTCCTTGGTGTATTCCAAGGTATTTTCTAACAGTGGAAGAAAGCATGAAGAGATTTTTTAAGCCAATGTTAAAGTGGCTCTGTAACCCTATATGCTTAGCTTGCGTCATTCTGTTTTTTTGCTCCTAAAATACATAATAGAGACTATTTTGCCTTTTGAATTTTCCCTCCACTTGTCAAGAGGTACCCAACTGCCAGCAATGGCTGGGTTAATAAGCTATTGTGCTCATTGTGAGGCTCTTGTGGAATCACCCATAGACTTCAGTGTTTTACTCTTGCACATCTGCAAGAGTACAGCACGGATGTGGGCTCCTGGCAGATAAAGGGACAGGATCTGAAAAGTACCAGCAAGAAAAAGATGGTGTCTAGGGACAGTTTCAGGTACGGAAAAAAAAACGCCCCACTCCGCCTCCCTGGTTGAGATCAACAGAATTCCCATAGGTAAGCATTGGGAGGCTAATGCACCGTGCCAATCAGCATCTTCTCATAGAGGTGCATTAAATCTGTATGGGGAAAGATCAGCGATTCCATGGAGATTGTGCAGACACTGAACGTCAGCACTGACCCAGGAAGCACCTTTAGTGACTCTGTGAGTGACTGTTAGTAGAGGTATGCCCTTAGGCAGTAATATACACACTGCCTTTTTTCTGAAAAGGCAGTGTTTGCATTGAAAAGCCTGTAGGGACATACTATACTACATTTAGCTGTAGTTGTTCTGGTGACTATATTGACCCTTTAATGAGCAATGCTTGTTTGACACTCTTAAATTAATTTTTTGTTTTTATGATTTTTAAATGTGTTGGATTTATTTTGTAGCTCTCTGCTATTAACAAGTTTATTATACTCCATACTTATCTCTACCGCAATCTTCGTTCCTCTGACATTAATGGTTCGATTTGTGCATTTTACATATTGTTACCCATGTTACTGGATCTTTATTGAATAATCCCACGAAATAAAAAATACAAAAAGGAAAATGAAGGAAAAAAAAAAAAACATGTGGCAAAAGAACAAACACTCTCATAAAGAAATAAAATATGCAGCTGTTTCCCAGACATGGTTCATTCGGGTTGCAAAGATTAAGCACATGTGTGGGACATCTGTGACTGTTGCACTCCATGTTATACTCTGCAGTCCTTTGTTCCTCTGCCATATCATTTCTTTCTGGGAAGAATAAAGATTACTTTATTTTCATCAAGATCATGGCATTCTCCTGCTACTATATGCCTTCTGTTACAATCACCCTCATATCTTTAGTGCTTGGCATTGGGTGTTCAACCTTGACCCTTGCAGAGAATTAAAATTAAAAGTCTTTCAGTATATATGATTTATACTTTGTATAAACTACGGGGCTGACCTACTCTCCAAGCTATGAATTAGGCATGAGAAAATAATCTATACGAGTACGGGTGCTCAAAAGGTAGATCCCCATGTTTTAAAACAGCTTCCATGATGCTTTGTTGTTCTAAAAATATGCAAAGCATCATGGTAGTTGTAGTTCTACAACATCTGGGGAGTTACCTTTTGGGCACTTTTGCTATAGAGGATGAATCAAAATTTTCTCAAACCATATACTAAGAAATATTTCCAGAATGCTTGTAAATCCCATCTTAACAACTTAATTCTGAACAGTGATGAATTTCGTCAGCATTGCAAAACTTGACAAAATTGTTCAGGGTTAGAAAAGTGCATCATCCCAGCTGATAAAATGCCAGGACTGTGACCTTTGTAAGGCTTTGGCTGATTTCGATTTAACCCCATAAGGGCCAAACTTCCAGAATAACAGGGAATCATGACATGTGACACATATCATGTGTCCTTAAGGGGTTAAATTAGTTGTGATACAATGGATTAGGATAAGAATATTGCCCAATCCTGAGTTAAGAAAACAGGGAAGAAACACTATTAAAGTAATAAGCCAAGCACCATGACCACTAGAGCTCACTGTAGTAGTTATGGTACCAAGAGTGCCCTAGGACCCGTGCTTTTTAAGCCATGGGTGTCCAAAAGGTAGACCCCAGAACTGCAACTCTCATGATGCTTTGCATGCTTTTAGAATGACAAGCTGTAGTTTTAAAACATATGGGGATCTGCCTTTTGGGCAGCCGTATTCATATTAGAATGGACTGCTTAACTAGGGTCTGCTGGGCGTCACCCCTTGACTCCACTCCGGATACTCTAAGCTAATGAGCTGGCCCGTATCTCAGCTCTTAGCTCTGAAGAACCAACAGATGCTCCTGCTTAGGAGCTTCTAGCTCTATGTTGGTAACAGTGTAAGCAGGGAGTACCGGGTGAGCGGTTATCGTTCTTGGAGTGCTCCTTTTACAATTAGAATTAAAAAGTAAAGGTCAACTCAACATACTTAACATATTACATAAATATAAGATAGTAGGATCGCAAGTTTGCACTAAGCATTAATAATGTATAATAAAAAAATAATAATACGGACAACGTAGTAGCTGCGCCAACAGCTATTTATTAGCATAACACTTTTTTCCCAAAGATTCAATAGCAAATGAAGTATGTACAAATCCTTACAGCATTTACACAATAAAAAAAGTTTCAGATCGGCCTGCTGAAGTTTACAAAGTACTGCAACAACTCTAAAGCACTGTAACAATGCTGATAATGCTTTTCTCCAGGTTTTTCCAATAAAAAAAATAAAAAAAAAATTGACTGATTATCACCTGATTGCCCAATGAGCAGACATTATTGAGAGAGAGATATAATACAATAAAACCAAAAATATTTTAATTAAAAAACATTAATACGGCTGACATGCAGCAGATACTGCCATGAGAAATTATATGTTTACTTTTTATTTTTTTGCATACCTACAAACATTTATAAGATGTAACATATGCAAGACCACAAATACATTTTGGTCAGTTTGAATTCTGTTATGGAGAGTAATTAAGATTGTGTTGGTACTTTTTATATTTATACTGATATGGCTGTAAGTTTCCACTTTTTTTTGTATTTGTTCATTTACTGTTTATCTTGTCTTTTATAAAAAAAAAAAAAAAAAAAAAATGAAAACAGTAAAAACCAAAAACCTATTACAGGTCTCTTATGATAGCTTAGTTAAAGGCAACTTATAGAAATTTGCATCTCGTTCTTGTCAAAAGTTTAAGACTAAGGAAAAAAATGGTATAAAAAATATCATATGACCATCACTTTGCTCCTAAAAACATACTGTTACACTACACCTTACAGTAATACCAGTTATTTTTTCAGACCGAGTCCTTTTCAATGGAGAATTTCTTGATGGGTAAATGATGAATTAACATAATGCTTTGAAAACATTATTTGACCTATTCCCATTTTTGTTTCAAATAAAATAAAACAAATTACGTGGAAAATACTGGACAGTGTATTTTTTTTTTTTTTGAGATAACAGAAAAAAAAAAGTACATATTTATATATCAAAACAATATGACGTAACGTTAAGAATGTTATGTAAGTTAATCTACCCTTCATTGTCATGTAAACAGTGGAGCTTTAAACCAAAGCTACTAAATTGAGTTGGTCTTAAACTTTTGGCAGATTGTGAATATATTTGAAAAGGCTTAATGTAGTTCTTTTTCAAGTGAAAGCCAGGTCCGTTCACATGTTGACAGGCATGCAACTTGAAAACATTGCAGAACAAGCAACACAGAGCAGTTTGGAAAGTTTACAAGACTTCAAGTAGACTTTACGACCTTTCACAACTGAATATTCACAGACAAAAGGTACAGTTGGAGCTTTCTCAGACATGTGAAACCTTCTGTGACTCTCTAGCTTGTTTAATACTATACAACCACTTTATTATTCTGGCAT